AATACGTACATATTCATAATAAAATAATACATATATGTATTCAAACATATACATTAAACGTACACACACAGCACTATTACATATTAAACATAGAAGTATCTAACACTGTAAGCCCTATTACAGGATGTTACACTTTTCTACTGAATTACATAATATGTAAACACAGATATGTAGCAAAGAAAGCTCATTATGAAATTCCTAATTGATTAGCTATTAGTAAGCCTATGATGTAATCTTATTAACATTGTATCCAATTTCACACCTCGCAATAATTACGTTTAGTTTCACTAAAGTTCCATAACCACGCATGATTTAAGTGTGTTACCTATTTTTGTCGCCAAGCAGTAATGTGAGCATTACTGTGTTCCGGTTTTGAAAGGTTAGAGTGCTGGTAAAATTACAGACACAGGACTTGTCAACTTATGTCTCAGGCTGTCAGAATTTTGCGAAAAAGACACGACAACAAACACATAGAAAAATTCGTGAGGTCCGCTGGTTCGTTCCATGGCTTAGTTGGCATAGCGTCTGGTACGGTATGCTAGAAGACGTCGTCGGTTCGAATCCGGCCGGATCGAACGAATTTTGTATTAATTTTTAACGTTTTTTACACTTTAACTTGTATGGTACACGGTTACTAAAAAAAAACCAAGTCAAAGATTTTCTTTTATAATATCAAGTGATGACGGTACGATAAGTCCTGAGACAGTGGACAAGTCCCATGTGGCTGCAATTTCACCAGTACCCTTATCTTTCAAAACTGGAAGGCAGTAATACTCACATTATTGCTCGGCGGTGGAAATAGGTGAACTGGCAGTACTTCCCTGGACGAACTCTTTCACACGGAGCTCTAGTGTTACTAAAATCAAAGAAATGTCAGGTAGCCATTCAATGGCACCTAATTGGTTAGATTCTTGACATGTGATTTCTACTTTAATATAAGAAATTAAAAATAGAAACGCACATTAATCTGCGTAATTTCGCTGCATTTGTCACCACCCTAGGGAATTAAACTAGGCCACAAGATCACCAGATTACAATATGATTATAATATGAATCAGTTGACTTTGTCGATGAGTCATTCACAACTAACACAGATTAATCATTTACCGTCATCGTTTGTCGAAGTCATGATGTGTATTCATTGTATAGCTCTTTTTAGATTTTTTTATTATTATACTTTTTGAAGCCATAAAAATGAAGATGCTTCTTAATGACGTAGTTACGTAGCGACGAAATTTCTCGTTCCTTCGGTCATATAACGTAAGCCTTTATCAAGCCATATATGTGTTGCTGCAGGATAGAAACCAGTAGGCCCAGCTATATCAGATTTGGAATACAAAGTCAAGTATGTTGTTTACATACATCTGAAGTTTGTCTATTAAAGATTTTTTAACATTTACATAGTTCGGAATTATTAAGTGGTTCATTCAGGTTCGACAGGAAACTTTAGTTTCTATTAGACAACTCACATGGTTCATTCAGGGTCGACAGGAAACTTTAGTCTCTATTAGACAACTCACATACGTTGTTCTGCTCCCAATGTAACTAAAGCACTTGTGTTATGGAAATCGGAAACAACGACAGTACCACCAAAACCCGAGATAATACTTATAGAAAATGTAATTTTATTCATTGACCCGGCCAGGGATCGAACCCGGGAGCTCGGAGATGGCGACACCATGAAAACCGGTGTGCAAGCCACCACAGAGGTCGTCAGTCTCTCAAGTTGAGCATTTAATTGAGTCCGTGGCCGAACGGTTACTATACTGGACTGCTACGCAGAGGCCCCGGGTTCGATTTACGGGCCAGGAGTTTGTTTGTATTGCCTACATTTATTTCTCTCGTGAGTTTGTGTGTAAGTTGTGGTTGTCTATGTGTGTGTCCATGGCACCGGCAAGGCTATGTTGAGTATGTGCGTTATTTTCATTATCATTTTTACCACTTTGCTCTCACGGCCATAACTATCTTGGAACCAGCGCTTTTGATTCTAATTCGGAATACCAAAAGATTCCATACGGACATACATATTTTTATAATAATAATAATAACGCACACACTCAACATAGCCCCGCACTAGGGAAACCCTGTGTCGCGGGTGCCATGGACACACACATAGACAAGCACAAATTACACCCAAACTCACGAGAGAAATAAATGTAGGCCATACAAATATTTCTCCCGGCCCGGGAATCGAACCTGGGGCCTCTGCGTGGCAGTCCGACATGGTAACCGTTCGGCCACGGAGGCAGTTGTTGTTTGAATAGGGACATATTTTTACTACATTTGAAAAGTTCATTTTGAAACGAAAGCTACGACAGTAACAAGGAAACATACAGCGGAGATAAATAATTCTCCAAGGTGGCAAAGTTGTCACAGCATATCTCGATAGAGTTGAGAATTTAAAATTTTGACAAACATTTTCTGGACAACTTCCCAGTCGAAATTTACTATAGCATAGCCTTTTGAAATACTTTAAAGTCCCATTTTTTTCTATTGTATTCTGTTATATCTTATATTGTATTCTACTGATGTCTTTAACTCAATAAAGTTTGTAACAACTTTTACTGTTTTTGAACAATAGTCTATATTCAATCTAAAAATAGCCTCATGACGTTCCCTGTCCCTATCAGTCTCTTTTTTTCAATCAATCCCTTTAAAACTACTTGAGCGCTCTCATTTGTTTGTCTTCAAGCTTGTTCTGTCTTTTCGGAATACATTATTTCACGAGTACGATTATCGATTCGCATGTTTTGCATATTTTAAACTGGTTGAAATCTGATTAAATATGCAGAATCCGCTCAACGGGACATATTTGCTGTTTCAACCATAATTTTGTAGATTTTCTTGGTTCCCTCATTGCTGAAGATCGCTATTGGTTTGAATATATTCGACGGTTTTTTTGTTACGTTCACCAGTACAGTGCGCGACAAAGGGGCGCGACTTGCGCGAGAGTGACATAAAGCGCGAGATACTTTTATTCTCGCATAGCAATCGATCGAAGTCGCGCCCTGTCGTGCTAGCCCTACTGTTTTCAGCCTGTTGTATGAGGTGTACTGCGTGATCTGAGAATTCTTTCAGCCTTACGGTTACTTTCTAATTTTTTTTTATAAACCAATGCCTTCCCATAGAACACATCAGCTAAAACTTCTTTATTTCCAAGGTCATCCCAAGTTTAGCATCGCACCATTGAAATTTAGTCGCCCTATACCACAGATATTGTCGTAGATATATCTATAAACAAAATAAACTTTCCTGATTTAAAACAATTGACAGGAGTTTACGTTACTGTTAATGCGGCGCTATACTAGAACAAAATATACAAGATTGTAATAATGACAATCTTAGAATTACCTCTTTCTTAAATATCATAACCTTTTCAAAGGCAATAAAGCCAGTTTCAGGTCACATCTCTTGAATAACGATGACCTAGTTACGAGTATTCAGTCAAATGTAAATCGATGCGCTAAACGGAGCCTAGATAATAAATATAATATTCGTTGACATAAGGGCTCTTTGACACGAAAATAAATGTCTCGTCTACGCCACCTCGACTGAAAAAACAAAGAAAACAATTTTCAACCCTTTTGAAAGTTTTACAAAATATAATTGCTGTATGTAGTTACGCGTTCTCTGCAAAAACCACCATCGTTACTGTGACGTTAGGAGCAATTTAAAATGCAAAAAGACCAATAATTATCCCCGCGGGAAGACGCTTTTTGTAACTTTTTTTATTATAAACGTGTTTGCATTACAAATTCACAATGAGGCTGCATTGGCGATGCATTCTTTAGAATTTCTCGAATATTCTTAAAACAATAGTATACCGGAGTTCTCATTTTAAATGATCTGATGTTAATGACAATCAAGAGTTGCCTAAACATTGCCTTTATTACATTTTTATGTTAATTTCACTTAAAAGTGGAGACGTACAGACATTAGGAAAGCCAAATACAAATCTGAAACATTTGTTGTAAAGCGGCATGTGTGAGGCGCGGGGTGATTTTCAATGTGGTGTTGGCGGGCGGGGGGACAGGGAGATAGATCATTCACCCGTGCACCGTGTGCCAGCGCTTATGTGTGGGTGCGCGTAGACAACAATAAATCACCAAATCTCCAGCGGATCTGTCACTGTGTCGTCAACATCAAATTGTTTCCCAATATTCTAAACATGTGTTCGCGCCACATTCTAAAAGGTTTGCCAAATCGTTTGGCATTACAGCTATGTTACTCTCATGTAGTTTTCTTTGGACACATTTTCACATGAAGTTATCTGCCAAAATATTCATTTAGCACATATCTACGCCTTTGTTTGCCGTTTGGCAATCCTGTAAGCTATTAACAATGAAAACAATCCATCATGAACACAAGCGTTGATTGCAATGTTATGTACCTACTAAAATGTGAGTGCACTTTATCCTGTGGATTAAAGTACGCACTATATAACCTTCTGACGTAACGTAATTTTTATCAAACGTTACAATGAACGTCAGTCACCCATCACAAACAGATTTACGAACGTTTTCCTGAAGATCTGAAGCAGTGAACGCGAGAAAAACAATCACTGATTTATTAATAAAGAAAGAATACAAAATTCTTTGGTTTTTGCCTCTCCGCGATTAGCGCTTGCGTCTGTGAATGTTTAGTCCTCAATACAAAGGTCACACGAATACAAATATAGGGTCCTGGTGGTATATGCAGCGTTTACAAAGAGCACGCCCTAGAGTTTCTTGCTCACTCTTCACAGGGGAATCTGTCTTACGAATGAGTAGTAGAGTTTAATCAATATGATGATTTCAAGTTAATTTGCTTCCCTTTGAAATAGAGGTTATTTGAGTTTGAGTCATTTGCTTGTTTCCTTCATTCATATGTCGTTTATTCTTGGTACTTTGGTTTTTTCTTTAGGCCAAGGAGGCCGACGCCAACGCGTTTCCGTTCACACTCGCTCAAATTTTTTTCGTTTTTAGAACTAATAGTAATTTAACGATTTTTTTTATTTCCAGGCTAAAGAGATTCTGACGAAAGAGTCGAACGTGCAAGAGGTAAAATGTCCAGTGACGGTATGCGGCGACGTTCACGGCCAGTTCCACGACTTGATGGAGCTGTTCCGCATCGGGGGCCGGTCCCCGGACACCAACTACCTGTTCATGGGCGACTACGTGGACCGCGGGTACTACTCTGTCGAGACTGTCACATTGCTTGTCGCGCTCAAGGTAAGAGGAAAAAAGAGGAGAGTAAATTGAGATTTTTTTCTATTATCAGTTTACTTTTCACGACTGTGGATGCAAAATTATTGCTGGAATAAAATAAGTAGAATAACAATTTACACCACGTGATTTCTTTCGGTTCATTTAAGATCCTGTTTTACTTAATTATCTGTTAATAGTTGGACAGAAACCAGACTGGCTTTCGCATCTTTGGCTGGTATGGCTAAGAGTCACTCCCAGTGCGTCAGTTATTTCTTTTTTTTTTTTACTGGAACTGTCACGAATGTAATAGGTGTACCTCCTTCTCTCACTTATACTTTACTTGTTTCTCATTAAAAGTAGTTATTTATTTAAAGTTTAGTGTTGCACTTTTATCTGTATTATTTTAAACAATTTAGACTAAAAGTACAATTTGTCTCTGTTTGTTCGAAATTTCAAACTTGGTCTATCAAAGGAATGAGTGGCACGCGAAGCGTTACAACTCCCTCACATTTATAAGTTTACTTATAAATTCTGGAATACAGATTCAGAAGCAATGTTAGCGAATTTTAAATAACAATCCGCCAAAATGGTAATGTTACAATGCACTCGAATTCTGTATTGATTTTGTAACAATGGCGAAATCGCGTACCGAGTAATTTGTTAAGCACAAATTGACATGTCGTAATTGTGATCTCTTATTGACTTTTCCTTGCAATAACACTGTGCTAGAGTGACATTGACCAAGTAATTTGACTTAACACTTCTCTTTCGTTTGTTGTGTTTTCGAGATGGGTTGCACAAAGTAAAGAATATATAAATATGTTTTTTGTCCTGTACCATTTTCAGCTTTGAATGTTAGCAACCCTCCTACACTAATATCATAAAGAGAAAATGTTTATAATGTTCCGTTCTGTACCGGACTTGAAACGGCAGCATCATCGTAGAGTTGTTAGGGCCAATAAAAAAACGAAATTAATATAGAATATACATTTCATTAAAACTATAATTACCATGAATTCAAAATTTACTACGTATACATGAATTGAAAGTGTGTTTCAATTAATAAAAAAAATTGAGTTCCAAAAAAAGCCGTGAAATAATAATAATAATAACGCACACACTCAACTGGGTCCGCACTAGGGAAACCCTGTATCGCAGGTGCCTTGAACTCAAACTAAACTCGCGAGAGAAATAGATGTAGGACATACGAATCGGGAATCGAACCATTTTGCATGGTAACCGTTCGGCTACGGAGGCAGTTGAAAGTAAAAAACAAATGATCACAAATTAGATCCGAAAAATAGTTAATTCCAAAGAAATACTCAATAATTAATCTTATCGTCATGGAGATAAGGTCGATGTAATTTTGTACCTAATAAGAAACATAACTATGATGAATGATAACACAGTTTATAGCAGATGGACGTTGTTAATAATATAAAATTACTGCACTGTTTTCATTACTAGACATAATTTAGATGTTTTCATTACTAGACATAATTTAGATACCGTTAATGATGTTTGAAACAAACATTATTTACATTTTCCATCTGTTGTGTAATTGCAAAAAGTAAAGCATCAAACAGAAGAGATGGAATAAATACTTTTGTACATCTACCTATTTCACAATTTTCACGTTCTATTTACTGAAATTATGAAAGTAATTAGTGAAAGTATTTTTTGTTCGTCGCTATGAAATATCTCCGTGCAACGTTTGATAAGAGTTGATTACACAGGCCTCTTCATTCTTGTCTATTGTATGACTTTCATCCTTGTGATTACGACACTAGGTGAGTCTTTCAGAATTTTCGATTTAGCACTTTATATCTTAAGCTGTATTTATTATCTGTTTCATTCTATCAATGTTATACCATTATCAAAAATCACTGCCACATAGCTATTTCTACCGAGAAGCTATAATGGGAGCAATACTGCATTTCAGTTTTTGAAGGGTATATGGCTGCTGGTGAAATTATAGGCACATTGGCCCTTGTCAAATTTATGTCTCTATGGTTACTAAAAAAATGAAGTCGATTTTTTTTTTTACAATATTAAGTGACGGGACGAATAAGTCGTGCGCCTGATGGTAAGCTACACGCCTGTCTATAACAGTTGCAGTGTCACTCAAGGGCCTTAAATCGCAAAGATCTGAGCCGCGGGCATTGCCACTGCGCCGTGGCGGGCGCAGTGGCAATGCCCCATCTTTATGCAAGTGTATGCGTAGACGTGTCGCTTACCACCAGGCGCAATATTGTTCTCCCTGTCACTTGATATCACGAAAAAAATGCTACCGTCACTCATATCGCGTGTTTACATACGGTCGATTGTATGTTGTAGCAGACTACTTCGCCTTACTGAAGGAGACGAAGTGGACTCGGTATTTACACCGACTCCGATGCTGCCTCTTCGCCACGCGAATTCAGCTGACAAGGCGCCACAGTCCTCGCGCTGTTTATACGGAATAGACTGCCACCTTCACCGAAATCACAAAGCCATTATAAATATAAGTTTACCCACAGAGACCAAAAATCGTTCGAAAGGTCAAAGTGATCGATATTGTGACCATTTTTGAAGGTTATCGTGGATATTTCTACTGTTAAAATTTGCAGCAAAGAAACAAAATACCTAATTGGTTACTTATTAGTAAGCCTATTTATATAAACTTATTACAGATTAGTATTTTGAAAGCTGAGTGACGTCTTACTCTTTTACTAATAAATGTGAGATACGGCAGCATGTATGACGATTTGACCCGCAGACAGTTCACCATAATGACCACGGAATTCACATTTCTTATCAATTCAATATACCTTTTGCGGAATTACCTACCTTCAGAATTCACCAGTATTTTTTCATTCACAAATAACAAGTGATAATTATATCTTATCTACACTAGACTTGTGATGTCCAGAGGCCCGATTCGGGGATTCAGTCTAAACTGTTAAGTAGTCTATTACTACCGTCTTGCCTTGCAATATTTGTCTGAAAAACCAAACTTTTGAATTGTAGTCCATTCGCGTTTAGAATACAGCAGATAATAACCACAAAGCCATGTGATTGATTCGTTTGAATTGCGTCCCATCACTGTTACTAAAGCACGTGATTGGTCGGTCTATTTACATTTCATATGGCTTCTCACTGTATTTTTTTTTATAATACTATGTGACGGGCCGAACAAGACGTGCACCTGGTGGTAAGTGGCACGCCTGTCCATAATAGTCGCAGTACTACTCAGAGCTGGTAGTAGCAGTTATGAAATCCTAGTGGTTGGTCAGTTTTAATATGAATCGACTATAGTGTATTCTTGAAGAAGCAAATGTATGTGTGAGGTTATATTTCTTTGCCTTTGCCTACCTGAGAGGCTTTATCGCGTTTGCACTTATCAGATAGCGCACGTTTGTTGTTTTATACTATGCGACTGCATCAGAGATACTTATCTGTGTTTATATTTATTCGGATTCAAAATAGATTTAACAGGAACTAAATAATGCCGACAATTAGGTGTTGGGTGATATTTTGGTTATGACTTTGTCTTGCATATATTAGCACAGATACTATACTAACAGTACGTACCTATACCCAGACTCATAAAAAGAAATGTCCACTCGTAACTCTGCTTATTGGGATGTATATTTTGATTCTTAACACTAATCAATAGACAGTAATAATAATAATAACGCTCACACTCAACACAGCCCCGGACTAGGGAAACCCTGAGTCGCGGGTGCCACACACAGACAACCACAAATTACACCCAAACTCACGAGAGAAACAAATGTAGGCCATACAAATATTTCTCCCAGCCCGGGAATCGAACCTGGGACCTCTGCGTGGCAGTCCGGCATGGTAACCGTTCGGCCACGGGGGCAGTTAAGACGGTACCAAGTAAACCGCGATGCGATTGTAATAATGTTCTAAAAGGCCAACAGATGGGGGAGCTATTACATATTTGTCAAGGTTATTACTCTTGTTCAGGGGGGCTACTCTCGGGGTCGTATTCCAGAACTCTACCCAATACTCAAGTCAGGACTTGAGTATTGCAGTGAGCACTGAAAATCATACTCAAGTCCTTGCCGTTAGGGTCGTATTTCCAGTGCTTGAAATCATACTCAAGTCTGCTCAAATCCTGACTTGAGCATTGAGTAGAGTTTTGGAATACGACCCTAAATCTCCGTCCGACATCCGTCCGAAACAATCACTGTCAAATA